CAGAAAGAACGCCTAGAACATCTTTGTACATTGCAAAACATTGTACATACATGTACCGGTACTTTCCTAGCTTTAGAATATAATGTCTGTATTCCCAGCAGCTTGTTCTTTCCCAGTGCAAATACATCATCAATGGTAAATTTACTCTTTTTCTTGACTCCGTACAAAACACTCTCTTTAGTTAGCCATCATCTTGATTGGTCTTTTTCGGGGCCTTCTAATGGGCAAATTTCCTTTCAAAACCTTTTTGGTACTGTTATTTGTTATTAACAAATTCTCTGTGTTTCTTTTTATGAGGAGGGGGGACCCCACTCCACTCCTATTTTATGCCAGCAGTACATGTACATGTACATGTCAGATGACCAGGCATCGACCTTAATGCTAACCCGGCGTACAATGTCTAGTAAAAACTGCTGCGGGCTAGTAAATGGTGCTCTTTAAATTGCCCGCTGGGCTAGCAAAGAAATGAAGCCAGGTGCTAGCACCAGCTAGTACTTTGGGAAATGAGCACTACGCTTACTATTTTCGCGCCGGTACGCTAGGCCCTATATATTTTCCTGGCTAAGAAAAATCTCCTTCCGTTTGGTTTGTTTTTTAACGCTGCCCAGGCTATTTAGCACAGCAGCTTCAATCATTGCGCACAGGCCGTACGATGTTATGGCGCCGGCGATAGAAGCTGAAATAAACTGCGATCCGAAAGTGTGTGAGTAGGCATACGTATTCTCTATGAACACGTGGAGTTTTCATGCTGTGTAGTGTGCTTGTGCCAGGTTTGGACCACATCATTTGCGGTCAGGGGGTATGCTTTCGTAAGACCGATTCGCCTGTATTTCTTCCGCTTTAACATTACAAATAATCCTTTCTAGGAGTAAGAAATATTTTCCTGTTTCCAAATTAGTTCTTGAACGTCACCATTTGTTTTTCATAAAGTATTTATTGGAGAACAATGTAAAACTCTTTAAAAATGTAAAAAGATTGAAGCACCCCGAAGATATAAATGGATCTGTCTATAAAATTTTTAGAACTAGTTTCGAGAAGAAAAATTATGTTTTTGACATTTTACAACTAAAACTCTTTGTTGAAATTAGAAATCTGAGAAGATTGGAACTCAAAAAGGACCTGTTTGCTTTTATGACAACCACAATCAGCACTTATTGGCACAAAACCCTTCAGTGCTCTAGAAATGCCCAGACAAGACAGATCCCGGTGTGCATGTGTTGCTTTCCGAAGCACATGGGGAGAATTTTCTAGTTCACCAGCGATTCCCGATACGATGTCAGTATTTCTCAACGCTATTATCTATTATTACGGTATATTTTTGGTATAAAAAAATGACAATGCCTGCTTCAAATTGTGTTGTACCATGTGAAAACTGCAATCACTGATTTATAATTTCTGTCGGATGCCAGAACACATGCAATTTGTGTTTCATTTTAACGTTACAATTTGTCTTGCTGCCAATCTACCAATAGAGCTGGGGACAGATTTTTATTTACACAATTTTTCGGTAAATTAAGGGAAAAAAGTGTAAATTATATGCAAAAAGGGAGAGAAACCTTTCATAGTCAATCATAGTCATGATGTGGCAATAACTACTCTTTACCTGTGAGTTGCAATGTAATTTCACTTCGGTTTTCAGTGTACTTTGATTAAATTTACTTACACTGATTTCAAATTTGAATTCAATGTAAAATGTAGTTAAATAAATTTCAAACATTTTGTTCTACTCGTACTTTATATTGATAAACAAAAAATTAAACTTTTGACAAAACATAGAGAGAGGCTCGGAATAGGTTCATGTACATGTATAGTGCACACCAGAAACCATCCCTTTTCCAAAATAACATGAGGAAAAAAAATGGAGATCAAAATTGAAACATCAAAAGACAAAATGCGTACCTCAATATAAACATAAACCATACAAAAAGAAAAGAACGATCATTGTTTTATACTATAGTCCATCATTTGCAGCAATCCGAAAAGTAACTGGCGTAGTTATTGTTGAAAAACATACTTGGTTGAAAGATAGTAAGTGGACTAAACTCCCTGTGAAATTATTCTTTCTGGCACCGTAGGAAAATTTAAATTAGTAGTTTGTTTTGTTATTCAGCGAAGCGCGTGCAAGCATTGGCACGACGCACACGCACGCGCGGTTGCTATAATTCGTCGGATCAGTGCGCGACATCGCGTAAACTGCAATCGGCTCAGTGAGAACGTGTCTCGGACGCTGAATTCAGGCCCAATTCAAAACATGATTCAGCAACTTTTGATTTGAAATTGAGATCCTAGAATGCTGTTTTTCTCGGAATATACAGCTGAAGCTGAGCTGAAACTTCATCAGGATAGTTGTTCAGTATCCTTCATTAGATTTTGACACTTTTGTTGCTTCAAACGAACAAAATGCACAAATTACAAATGATGGACTATATCTTTAAACTAAGTGAGGTGCAACAAAGTTTCATTTATCAGACAGAAATGACAGCTCATCAGAAACATCCACCTCAGATCCTGAGCTTGATGATTATGATGACACATACATGTAATCATCTTAAAGATGATTATGACGACACACGTGATGAGGCAGAGCCATCAGCAAGTGATCCAGACTCTACAACCAGTGACAGTGATTTCTAAATTCTTGTTTCATTACTATTGCCGGTGTCTCCCTTTCGTAGTTTGAAAATCATTTTTTTAACGAGACTTGTTACAAAGTGGTCATTAAATGAGCCTTACATGTTACAATCTAAGATATCCAGTGGGCTGGTTAAAAATCCTGCGGGCTAGTAAAACTCTTGGTTAACTTGCCCGGTGGCTAGTTGAAAAAAAGCTTAAGGTCGAGGCCTGCAGATCACCACAATGGCACCATACCACTACCAGTCATCATCATCATCATCATCATCATCATAGTTCAGTAACAAAATCAAAAAGACACAAGCATCTATTTTAAGCTTTTATATTAGAAAAAGCATGATAAAACTGCCAATCCCATATCTCAAATGAAACAACGACCTAAATAAACAGACCCATGACCCATTTCCCTTCAATCATTTCCCCACACAAGATCCCAGGATCCTGTTGACAAGCACAGGAAAAATGTCTGACCCAAAGACAAAATATACCAGGGGATCAAGTTTTCTTCATGTGCAGTTTCTAAGGAAACCTACATGTACGTACATGTACATGTACATTGTATGTACAGTAGAGAGCAAATCTGTTACAAAACAAGGCAAAAAGAATACACACGTGCATAACTCACAGTGCATAAACCACAGAACTACATTTTGAACTTTCTTGTTATGCATACATCATGTGCATTTTGCAAATTACTTCTTGGTATATACACCATAGAATTGATTACGTCATATGCCGCAGAGGTCATGCGTTCCCAGGGTGATATTTTCACACAAACCTAGACTTGCGTAGCAATACGCACGGAGCCCAGTTTTGCACCATTTTTTTATCCATTGGAAAAGGAAAATAACGGAATCCATCACGTTCTGAGTGATAACTACAGTCAGCTAGGAAGCACGTTCCCATTTTCCGGTTTTATTCATTCTTAACCTTAACTCCCTAGGCATTTTTGCTAGGATGTAACCTGAATCCTGCAATATCCTCCGATTCCAAAGAGTTAAAACTCCGCATAACCTGAATCCCCCAAAATCCTCCAATTTGTGTTACTGGTGCCCACAGCCTGAATCCTTCAGAATCCTGCAGTGGGTTTCTGGCCAGTGTTGTGTGAGATCATTGACACAGAAAAATAGGTTTTTAATCAGCTTGGCACATAAACAATGCATAGTGACTTGAACTCCATTGATATGATAATGTGCATAGTACAAAGTGTACAAAGTATTGGTATGTATTGCAATAGTGACTGGACCTCCACTGAAAAGTTTGGTAAGTACTGGTAAGAAATAACCTGAATTCTTCAAAATCATCATGTATCACATTGGACCTAGTAACCTGGATCCTCCATTTTCCTGCAGGGACAAAAACTCCTTATGCCCTCAATCCTGCAAAATCCTCCGATGCATCAACTTCCAAGTGCCCTCAATCCTGCAAAATCCTCACTTTTGCAAAGAAGAATTTGGAGGATTTGGGATGGTTAAAAAATTTCGCCTAAAAAATGTTTACCTAAATCACTAATACAAGTCCTATGGTAAAAAAGGTGGAAGGGATATTGTTTGGAACGATCACTATTGGCACATAGGAATGTGACAACATTTGAGCATTGGATTGATTTGATTGTTAACCACTTGACAGGATTATTTTTGGCAATAAAAAACACTCTTTTATCAAGACAAAATATTTCAGCCAAATCTTAAAATTAAGCAAAACACCACAAATACTGACTCTTGTGAGTCATTTGTACAATATTTGTACAGTACTTGTTTTGCAACACCCTGAGGCCTCACCATGGAGCAATACTTGTGTTCAGTGGCCCAGTTCAAGTTCACACACGGGTGTGTACATACAAACAATGGGAACAACTGACATGTATAACACATCCACCCCCAGCGACTCGGAGAAATCTTGACGATTTAAGCTGTCACTCCACTCCCCCCTCCCCCCCCCCCCCCCCCCCCCCCCCCGACGCGAATATACGTACATTGCCACATGCTGTTTACAAGTCCTTCAGTGTTAACTGGTTAATATTCATTTCATGTACATGTACAAACATCGTGTGAGGATAGTTTATACGTGGGTAAAAAAATCTCAAGCAGCAAGGTGCGTGACAATGTGAATATACATGTACATGTACATGGACTTTGGGGGTGTAAAATGAATCTTATTCTTATCTTTTGAAATACAATCAAATTCTATTTAAAAATAAAAACATTGTTGGCCATGAAGCTGAAAGTCAAACCAAAAATATGCTGCATTTTAGCTGTTACAATGGTACATGTAGGTTTGAAGAAATTAACCCTACCATTATTGCCCATTGTACTGTTTCCTAGCTATCCATGGAGTACACACACTATAGACCCATCTCATCTACTTACGCAACAAGGATGTGGTTTTGATGGTCTGGTAGGATGGATATGCAGGCATCCCGTATGTCTACTGACCCTACAGTGTGACATAGCTCCATCTGGGATTTGTACAATCGCAACTGGCAGGACACTTCATCCAGCTGGAACCAGTATCGTTTCTTCTTCCATCGACCCAGAGCTTCAGAGAAACATTGAAGTACATATGTGTACGGTTACAAATCAAAATCCTGTTTCTCTTAACATTTACCCAAAATTCTTATTTCATGAATTATTATTCCACTATAAAATGTTCTGATTATTGCCCTAAAACAAAAGTCATGTCAATCAAGATTTGCAGGTTGTACAATTGAAAATCAGTAAGTACAAGGTTTTGTCAGTGCTGTGGTCAAGCACGAGTCCAGTCAAAAGAAACTTGCAAGTCCTTTCACAAGTCCAGTCACAGAGGATGAACAACAACAAGGGAATATTTTTGTCACAGTTTATTTACATGTACCTAATGTGCGACTTGACCAATACTTAATGAAATGTGATGGACTTGTGAGGACTTGTGCCAGACTTGACTTCTACAACACTAGGTTTTGTTGTAGAACCATGTATCGTGTTTGTGTGTGTTTGTGGTTCTGAAAAGCACATAAGATGCATTCCCCATGCTATTACAGTTTCACTTCCAAAAATAAATTTGTTTTTAAAATTGCTGTTTATTCTAGCAACATTAAAGTTATTCACTGAAGAATGACACATCTAACAAAAAAATCCACCAACATTTAGTTATTGAATTATTTCTTCACAAAATTGAATCGTAGCCAATTATTGAGTTCTTGCAGGGCAGGTTCATTTGTGCGCAAATAAAATTCCTTTTTCAGAGAGTTGCAGATGTCCAAAATGAGAATAAAGTAGTTTTGTTAAAGGGAGTATACAACATTTGCTTTTGCAGCAATTTCCAGAAAAAGACAGATTTGAGGGGTTTAATAGTAGTTTTTTGAACACCTCACCCACAGATTCTGTGTCTTGATTGGCCGAGAGCGAGTCACATGGTACTTTCTATTTTTACTATATTTCTGTGCACAGCCAAAAGTACTATACCCATACAAACCAAACTAGTATACATTAGCAACCAAAGTACTATTCCATGGAGCGGTATTTGTGTGCAAATGCATGCTGGTGTGCGCATTGAGGGTTGCGCACAGTGCGTGTTGCTCCCAAGAGCCAGGTGCTAGAGTTGGGTTCAAACATTTCGTGAAGGGGTGGTTGGGAAGAGAAAAATACATTTTCCACCAATTTCAAAGCAAAATCTGAGGGAGGTGATATAAAACAAATAGTGACTGCTTTATCTCGTGGTGCAGTACAACTAGCCTCCCTCGGTGATCCATGAAGCATCCTATTTTCCGTCTAACTGCCTCGGGAAAAAAGAATGTCCATGGATCACCTCGAGTGGCTAGTTTTACTACACAACTCGAAGCATTCAATATTTTGACTTGTTGCAAGTTTTGTGCTCGTAGATGCTGGAAAAACCCTAAAACAGGCTGTTTGAACCACTGCGATACAACTGGTTCATCTGAGAACCACACACAACTCACAAAAAAGGCAATGTACTGCAAAAGTTTTTCTAAATAAGGAGTTTTCCATACACCTCCACTTCCCCTCTGGAAATCCAATGTTCAATAATTGCCACAGGTGGATATTTCCACTATACCACTTGAAGCAGTCCACACCAAGAGCGTCTTTTTAGGCGGATATGTTCTTTTATTGTTATTATTATACTAGCTTTATATCATGCCTACCTCCTCCAGGTCGATGCTGCAGGTAGCCTGCATGGACTACCTTCTCCTCCTCCATGACTTCAAACGATCACTCAGGAGACACCATCAGAATGTCAAACACCTGCAAAGAAAGGCGATAACAACAGACATACTGTAGAGCCATTCTTGGTCACAGAACAATTTAGCCTCTACTCTCCGAGTGTCTTTTTAATTTAATTAGGCTATCAGGCAATATGCCATCACCCTCCACAACGAGTGTTTTAGTGGGTATGCCAACCCCCAATAAAATCATCAACTGTATGGTATTACCCAAATATTGTCCATGCCGATCTCAAATTCCAATGCAAGTTTCTCCTTTCTGAAAAATGTTTTACACCCTCAAAGTTTGATGTAAACACAATGCTTTTGAACACCACTTTTTGAGGCCACAATCTCTGCAGTCTGCAGGCATACATATTCCTGTAGTCTGAGTATCACCCCTTGTCCAACGAAGCCAATGCAAATTTATGCAACCCCACGTGCCAGCAAATCGAAGTTAACATGACATCATTTCATTTCGTAATCTTGCTTTCCACGACTGCTTTTCACGACAATGCACCAGACGAAAATGGAACCCACTAGCGGTGCTTGAAAGCAGTGTGGTACCCACATACATCGCGCACATTTTTTTCAATAATCATCACATTAACGTGATGTCTCACGTTTGGATTTCGATAACTCTCTGCACAATTTGAATTAAAAGCTGAATTTTTGGTGATGCAATGCTCACAACAGCAACTTTGCGAGGCAGAAGTTTCGGGGATTATTGAAGAAACTGTAGTGAGTAAGAAGATTGCAAATTTGACTCTCACTGGTTTTATTATATGCAGCACAAACTTTTGCACGATATGGATACCTTTAAGTTTTGGGACTCTCATACGCAGTATTGAGAGTCCCAAATTTTCGGACTAGTCCAAATGTTTAAAAAAGCGATCCGTAGAGTCCTAGTTACTCGGACTATCGCGAGGGTATGCACAAAATGCATACCGTGTACATGTCACCAAAGTATGCCAAATCGGTGGAGCGTTAGTACGAAGGGTACCGTAGTTCAACACTCCACTAAGTAGAGTATTAATGACCACACTCTAAAAAGTCTCACGCCGTAGTTATGTCTCCAGCGTTACATGTGAATTCCTGATGAGCTTGTTAAGCTGGAGTTACTCAAGCTAAGGTAACTCCAGCTCTTTGGTGTCAAGTGGCGCTTTCCCACGGAGGAAGTCGGTAGCATAAAATGGTACGACAGTAGAGCGCGTAATGAATATGCATGACTATGACGTCACTAGAAGCTCATGAGTAATATATCACGCACGGTACTGATAGATATACATGTAGATGCACACTGTATGTGCTGCATCCCACTTAACGATGATATCACATTTAACAAGTCCTCTTTCTACTGTCGCGCCGCCACCCTCTAGTGTCGTCCCACTTACCGATGATATCACATTTAACAAGTCCTCTTTCTACTGTCGCGCCGCAACCCTCTACTGTTGCCCCACTTACCGATGATCATCAAGTGGGGCGACACGAGAGGGTGGTGGCGCGACAGTAGAAAGAGGACTTGTTAAATGTGATATCATCAGTAAGTGGGACGACACTAGAGGGTGGCGGCACGACAGTAGAAAGAGGACTTGTTAAATGTGATATCATCGGTAAGTGGGACGACACTAGAGGGTGGCGGCTCGACAGTAGAAAGAGGACTTGTTAAATGTGATATCATCAGTAAGTGGGACGACACTAGAGGGTGGCGGCACGACAGTAGAAAGAGGACTTGTTAAATGTGATATCATATAAGGGCTGGAGCGAATTTTTCTCGTAACTTGTAGTATTTGCAAAAAAATTTGGAAAATGTTCAATTTTGTCCCCGTTACACACTAATTGCAACTGCAACTCACCCCAAACTTGCCTGGAATAACCATTACACAGGTCCTTGAAGTAAAAAACGATCCACGATGAAGATTCAGCCTACAATTGCAGTGAAAACAGGAGGAATAACCGCTAACTTGACAACCTTGCTGGATTGGCCAGGACCGCAATTGGTTTGTGCACAAAAAAAATTGTGTACAATGAATGGCGGTCGATTAACAGGCACAGAGAGAGCGATCGCTGTCAACATTGATCTCCATATACACAGACTGGATAGGACATCGCGTACGAACGTGCGTCCGTTGCTATGCGCGCGCGTTTTTTGAAAAGGGTAAAGAACACAAAATTCACATTCGAATTGTGTACACTTTCGGACGGAGGATTAAAAAATGAAGTTGGGTTTTCTTCGGTTTCTTTGTCATTTTTGAAAGAATAAGAGAAACAGAGATCTAAATTGATCAAAATCGATGAGGAGTATAGTCAAGGTGTGCGCAGCATTAGATTGCTGGAGTCGGGAAGTAAGGAGCGTTGAAGAATAGGACAATTATTCGCAAGTAAGTTGCTTTTTAACGAGGCCTATACAACATGGCATGGAGGAATATGAACATAGCAAATTATAATATCGTTAGTGTTGTCGCTCTGAGTTTGAGGGGATGGAGGCCTGTGTGGTAGCTAGCGAGATATTCTGTTCAAATTCCATGCGATCTGAGACCTGTCATGCTGGTCGCCGTCCATGTTTTTTTAAGACATAGGCCTAAACGTGCATGACTGACCGACAATGGCAATGAACAAAAGTTGACTTGTTTAAAATAGTTTATTCGAATAACCTTTATAACTTTTATATGCAAAATCTGATTGAATTATGTCTGCCTTGGCTTTAGCTCTACTGAGTGGAGCGCTGGAACTTCGGTACCCTCCGTAAAAGCTTGTACGGAGGGTACCGAAGTTCCAGCGCTCCACTCAGTAGAGCTACCTTGGCTTAATGCCTACCGAAATGTTTCTATTATTTTTCTTTATAAAGAGAAACCGAGGCGATGGTTTATGCTAACTTACTGCACAACTGGCCGATTGACCTTCATATCAAACAAAGAACTTCAACAAAGCCATATAGCAAAAACCACCAGCTGCAGGACCGAGCCGGACGAAAATGGAGAACTTCACGGAGGGATGGAATCGACTGTATCATCCACTGAATGGAACATGCGATGTGATAGGCATCTGAGCGTTTGACTTAATCAATTTTTACGATGTGGAACTGTTAACATTGATTGCTTTTGGTTTTGGAAAGAAGTTGTGGAGTTCAACGCAAGTATTTTTATGAGCTCCCAAGATGACTGTCACATTATTGACAGTTTGTATGGTGAAGAAAGCAATGAGTACTTTTACGGTTTGAAATTATGTTGTGTACGCCGTTATATAAGATTACTAGCTATAGCCATATACACCGTCATATTCGCTCACAAAACGATTCACGTTACACTTACAAGTAATTATATTTATTTTCAGAAGTATAGCTAAACATTGAATTATAAACAAGACCGTGCATAGCTTGAATTATTCTTTGACAAAATTAGTAAAGTAGTATTTTGGTTTGTGATTCATCTCCTTTCACACAATATCACAAGAGATGAACGATGTCATTCCCTGATCAATCTAGGGACGGGAAGAAGTTTTTACTGATTACCTTGTTAAATTAAGGTTTGTTTACCTTTTAAATTGTAATTGGTGTATGTTCAGGTTTTTTAATAAATATATCAATCATTTGAATGAATCTCCATACAATTTCTCGTGTGCGTGTTCAGTTAAAAAAATATGATGTCATTTTAGCATATTATTAATACAATTATTCGTTTCGTTGATTGAATAATTCAGTGTGCTCTCATGACCAATGTGCCAAAAATGAAATGGCAATTTACTTACAATCATTTTTGGGAGGAGGAGGGATTAAAAAAAAAATAAGGGAAAAGGAAAGGGGGGGTTCTTGAATTTCGAAAATGCATAATAAGAAAGTGTATATCAAGAAAGTGTGGAAAAGCTGTTTGGAGGGATTGAGGGTAACTCTTCATCGTTCAGTTATTCTTTTTTAAAGATTGTTTTCGCTTGAACTCCCTTCTGTAAGAAAAATTTCACTCAATAATCCATTTTCCAAAGTAAACAAAGTGAAAGCACAATGCGCGTTTGCGCGTTTACCCGTCTGACAGTAAACGCGCCGCCATTGTTCGGACGCGCATTCGTGCACGTTCGTACGCGATGTCCTATCCAGTCTGTGTATATGGAGATCAATGGCTGTCAACTACTTGTTTTTGCCGGCTGCGCTGGCTGTTGGCGCATGACGTCACGCGGAAGCGTAACACCCGATGACTGTTTCATGCACTATTGGTTGCGGTTCCAGTACCAAAGCTGTGATGCGAGTGGTAAACCTCATATTAGTGCATGAAACAGTCATCGGGTGTTACGCTTCCGCGTGACGTCATGCGCCAACAGCCAGCGCAGCCGGCAAAAACGAGTAGTTGACAGCGATCGCTCTCTCTGTGCTTGTTAATCGACCGCCATTCATTGTACACAATTTTTTTTTGGCACAAACCAATTGCGGTCCTGGCCATGCCTGAAAGTAGACCCGTGAACGTGGCGTTGTATACAATGCCACGTTCTTGTTTCATTTCGAACCTGGCGAAATCGATCCGACATACATAATTCCGTATGGGTGTTGAGTACTCACCTAGAAATCTAATTTTGCCCGTCCGATTGTTTAGGCTGTGTAATTTCGACGAAATTTGCCCATCAGTAAAGACCCATACGAACGTGTAGAAATTAGATTTTAACCTGACCCTGACAAATAACCCCAGACGCGTCTGAGTCGCTTGGACAGATTGACGGCTGTTTCATGTCGCAACCCCGACAAAAAAAACCCGCAGACGATTGGCTGCTCGGCTCATCTCGTGTACAGTACGTGTGTGCACACACACGTACACGCGGGCGCACGTGCGACCGCGTGCGGTGCGGTGAGAGAGGAAAGGACTTGAAACTTGTCTAAAACGATGTCTGTTTTAGCTGCGACAGTAAACAGCCGTCGAATCATACGAAAATAAAACGCAATGCGCATGTGTCAGTTGGGAGAAAATGGCAGCTAGCAGTAGCGGACGGACTTCATGAACCGGGGCCAGAATTTTCCTCAATTTTCGTCAAATGCAAGTTTTGACGTACAAATAGAATTCAAGACAGCTTCATATGTGAGTACTTATTACATGGGCAAAATAACGTCCAGTGTGTGAAACGGAGGGAGTCAGAGGGACACGTTCGCCAGGTTCGAAAATAGACAACAGCGTGGCGTAGTTTACAAGCCACGTTCACGGGTCTAGCCTGAAAGGTTGTCAGGCTAGCGGTTATTCCTCCTGTTTTCACTGCAATTGTAGGCTGAATCTTCATCGTGGATCGTTTTTTACTTCAAGGACCTGTGTAATGGTTATTCCAGGCAAGTTTGGGGTGAGTTGCAGTTGCAATTAGTGTGTAACGGGGACAAAATTGAACATTTTCCAATTTTTTTTGCAAATACTACAAGTTACGAGAAAAATTCGCTCCAGCCCTTCTAGACAACCCAATGATAAAACTCAGGGCTGGGTAACTCCAGCTACTGTCGTATCATTTTATGCTACCGAGGAAGTCCCATGTTTCTTGCTCTTTGGCTTTGCCACTGCTCAATCATTTCCGGTAGCAATTTACAAATACAATTCATGTCATTTGCCACAACAGCTTCAGAATTAGGCCCTACCTTTGCACTCTTTGTTGGCACTTTGATAATTGGCAATCTAGCGATGTTCACCGCGAAAGTCGGAGAGTCGAAGCCACATCAAATGCAGATTACTGTTGCTTGTTGTACTAGGCCTACTGGAAAATAAATTAACAAGAAGTTTCAGTTGTTGTACCACTGCACTACGTACGTACTTGCAGTACGCAGGGTGACCGTAAGGTCATGACCAAATTCTGCTAAATGCACTTCAAAAATCTGTCAGATTTATCAAAAATCTGCCAAATTCCCATGAATTACTCGAAATACACTATAAACATTTAAAATCACAAACAGATGTTGTAATATTACTTTAATTTAAAGGTTCAAACTATATTATAAGCAATATGTAATCATATAAAGGTTGCGTACATTTCAGTCAAAACGAGGTTGCGTCACAACGAAATCCAATTCCAAGTGAACCTCAGCACATAGACAAGGCAACCTGTCCTATTTTGCAAGGATTTGTTTGAAAAGGTTGAAGCTTTTTGAAACAAATCTATCTTTTTTTCAAATTTGCTATTTTTTTCGGTCAAATAACCATTTTTGCCGAATTCTGCCAGAAATCTGCCAAAAAAATCCATTCTGTCAAATTAACAACACAATCTGTCAAAGTTAGCCGAAAATCGGCTAAAACGGTCACTATGGCAGTATATACTGCAGGAGCCATGGTACGTAGCACACATGCGGCAGCAACATGACGCGGGCAATGTTGAACAGAGCCGAATGTGGGATAGTCTGGTAGACGGATTTATCATCGTGGCATACCATCATCATCATCTAGGCGCTTGCGTCAAGTGGATCTGACATCGCGCACTCTGTAAGTGTTCTCCACTGTTCTCTGTCTGATGCCACGTGCCACGTGCATCGATCCTTGATGTTGACCCCCGTGGTTGTCAGGTCCTTGTTTACTCTCTTCAGCCACGTGGTTCGTTAATGTCCCCCTCTTGGTAGCTTGTTCTTGCGGATTTCCTCTAGAAGTGCTTGCTTGGCAGGAGCTTCCTCGGGTAGTCTCAGGAGATGGCCTGTCCACCTAAGACGTCTTCGGGTAATGGCAGTACTCCAAGGGATCTCGTTGGTTCTCCTGTACAGTTCTTTATTGGTGATCTTCTTGGGCCATTTTATATTAAGGATTGAACACAAGAGTCTTCTGTGAAATGCATCAATGTTCTCCTCTAGTGACTTAGTCAATGTCCATAGTTCGCTGTTGTATAGGAATACAGATGCTATGAAGGCGCGGAATGTTTTGAGTTTCGTGTTGTTTGAGATTGCATCAGTGTTGAAGACATTCCTGAATTTGTTGAAAGATACCATCGAAAGTATTTTCCTCCTGGTAATATCTTGCTCAGTGTCGAGAAAAGATCCCAAGTATTTGCATTTCTTCCAGGGTGTCGAGCAGTACGCGCCCATCACTACCTGCTCCCTCAAGGTTGGAAATAAAATAAGCACTGGGGAACGAGGTTGTTGATCTCCAAATGGAGATCGATGGTGGCAGGCATTGATCTCCATTAGTAATGGAGATCAATGGTGGCAGGCCACTTTTCCCACAGCGCATCGGTTGGTATGGTGGCGCTGTCACAAATTGTGGAAATGGCTCAGTTGTGGTTATGGGTGCAACCCTGCAATAAAATTCCCGTAGACACTAGTGCTAAATGCCCATACTTCAAAATTCTTGTAAAAATACTCAGAACTCTCACAGGTATTTTATAAGCTGCACAGAAAATGATAATCAACATGTTATCTTTCATTTTCTGTTCATTTTTTTGGGGTGGGTTGAGCATTGACTTTTCGAGAAAGATGACCCCTATTTTTTTCAAAAATAGCCATCTTGAAAAACGATCCCTCAGAGGCGAACAAAATCAAAGTCCCAGTTTTGTTACAGTAATTACCATAAGTACATCCTCTAGGTCTACTGTACAGTATAGAATACAAATACATGTATTACAACACACACTCCGTTGTGATGGTTATAACGTTACCAAAAAAAGCGGTACATGGATAAAAAATTGTAGTGTCTTCGCATAAAAAGTTTCGATATAACTGAAACAAAGTGTCATATTTATATTACTACTTGTGATGGGAAATGTTTTAGCAGATAATAGTTTAAATGGACACTAGATCCTGGAACAGCCCAATTGGGCTACAAAACGCGCTTTGAACGAGCTGATGATAATCGGAAATAACTTTTAAAAGTAGGATATAAACATCCACACAACTATCCTTTCAAAACTGGGCGTTTTTGTGTTATTCCTGTATTATGCGTGCGAGGTCCACTTTCATTCGTACTCAAGTGTTCGCCTTTTGCGGACGTTGAAGAAACCACAATTTTTTGCATTGGTGATTGGTCACCGCGCGCTGTTAATTCCCGAGACACACAACGTGTATAGCGTACATGAGAACGACACGAAAAACGTATTCGTACTCAGTGGCGTCGCCAAGGGGGGGGGGGGGGGGGGGGGGGGGCCCCCCCCCCCCCCCCTGGAAAACCTAGTGCCCCCCGAGTGCCCCCCCCCCCCCCCCATCTGAGATTTGGGTTGGTAAAAAAATATATATATATTTTGTTATATTCAACTCCCATCATCTGAGTTGGTTAAATAGCAAAGATATCTTCAGATCGAATTTAGCATCAAATGTGGCACCATTTTGCATCTAGCCCATCCTCCGTATGCGAAAATTTTCCAAAGGGGAGGGGGGCACCCCCTCCCCTTAGACCCCTCCCCCAGGACGGCGATCCGTATCCACCTAAGTGCCCCCCCCCCATCAAATGCTGGTGCCCCCCCCCCCCCGACTGAAAAGTCTGGTGACGCCACTGTTCGTACTCCGTCATGTCCGATGTAAAACAAGCTGGTTTTTTCGTCTTTTCTCGGGAACGGTAAGCGTAATTTTTATTCCTAGGAGGGTTAGGGGCAATGTCATGAATAATTCATGTTTATCCATTTGAACGGACAATGACATCAACAGCATTGTTGTTAGTTACTCAACTAGTTACAATACATTAAAGCATTTTAAAGAACGGTTGTCGTCGAGCTACCACACAGTAGCCTAGTGGATAGCGTCGAGATGAGCTATGGATACAAAGATCCCTGGTTCGAATCCACGTCGTCGCTGCTCATTTTCATCAGCTATTTTTCTTCTCCAAATTTATCACTGAGATAATTTTAAATTAAGGGGAAAATAGAACGAGAACCTAAGTCTTGCAATGATTCAAAGGAAAAACTGAATTATTCATGACATTGCCCTAACCCTCCTAGGAAAAAAAATTACGCGAACGGTAAGACATTATAGGTTGGTTTCCTTTCAACCAGATGTTTGAAATAGGCTAAGTAAACAATCCAAAACATAACATTTTCGGGGATTTCAGGACCTAGTGCCCCTTTAACACAATGACCACTAATTCTCGGCCATACAGGGTTGCCTCACACGTGCGCTGCCAATTACAGCCCATCGTCCCAGGGATTATCGGCCCCGCTACAAAATACAATGATTGCTGCCAGACCACTAATGTCACTATATCCATTCCAGCCACCTGAGCCAATTACAGTCCCATTGTCCAAAGGATTATGAAAAAACACGAAACCCAAATGCCGGGACTATTGTTTTAGTGAATTTCTGCATGTAGCACTTTCAAAATCTAGGAAATGAAAGCCCAATTCATTTCGTTTCTTTTATACAAGAATCATTCAAATCACTTATGTACTTTTCAATTCAAGTTACAGAATTTTAAACACAGCCACCGTTTTAAAGTTCTGTCCACGAGTCACACAAAAGGTGTGCGTTCTTCCAGCAAAACAAAACAATTCACACACATTCCTATGTTATTTATTCATTGCGTCGGGGTGATGTAAACCAACTTAAATTTTGCCCTTCACCGACGTATATACACTGTATATAGTATACAGTGAGTACACAGTGTATATACGTCGGTGAAGGGCAAAACCTTATAATATTTTCAGTTGATTACCTACTATGATCTAGCTACCCGGCACGATGACGTTAGAAATATGAACTAAAACGCATTAGTAAAACCCTTTTAAAATGCATTCATTTACAAATGCTACATTAAAAAGAAAGGTTTTTTACATTTAAAAGAGACAAGTTTATGTTCACTACGTAGCAGCCATGGCAAAGCATTGCAATAGCTTAGGGGCTGCCAATTCAAAAGACCCTGTCACCGATGGGCAAAATTTTGCCGCTCATAGGATAATCCAAAAAGGGTCCGTTGCTCGCTGGACCGGAGATGTACCAGTAACGAGATCCTGCAAGATATATTTCTTGGAGAAAAACCGTGAATACCTTTGAATGTTAATAAAAATGATTTTAAAATTAATGCTGAAACCAGTAACCAGTGCAGTTGACGTAATATTGGTGTTATGTGTTCGAACCTTTATGTGTTGGCAATTATTACGTACATGTACGTTTACGGCCTGGATGCTCACTTTTGTCATGCCAAAACTGTTTGCCAAACTACGTCCGCAATGATTACACATCGTTGTATAAAAAATCATGTCGATCCAGTGCTTCGCTCGTAACCCCGCCCTGCAAACAGGACCGTGGTCTGATGAATTCACGCTCAGATTGGTTGGATTTTGCGAGACCTGTGACCTGCGCGTCATCACGGTCATGCCTCTGCAAGGTTCGAAACGGCCGTTAAGACTGATTCATCACTCTTTTATTCCAGTTTAGAGAGGTCTGGGTTTTTTTGAGAAGCGTAATAATGTAGGAAATTCTGTAAAACTTATTTGTGTTGAAAATTTACAATTCCCGTCACTTACTCAGGCTCCGCTTCGAATCACGAACGGTTGGATTGCATTATGCGACGCTCAAAGTTTTGTCCACATGGTCCGCAATTAAACATAAATCACATCCGGTATGGAACGTGTGTATTTCCATGGGAAGTTTTCGGATAGCATTTGCGCACATTGTCTAACTGCGGTCTTGAACAGCTGCAGCCAGATGCTTGCACTGTGAATCAAGAACACACATCGATTTCGCCGTTAGAAATGCAGTGATATGTTGTAAGATTTGAACTTGACAGTGCATGAGTGAATATAATGCCTCGGAGCGGGTATTCGCAAGAAATTTCTTCCCGTGAGTACGTTCTTTACATAAGTTTACATATGATATGATGATATGATATGATAATTTATTGTCCACAATAAGCATGCGGAAATTTGCTTTCCACCAGCAG